GCGACATGACGAGCAGCAGAGTAAGTAGAAGAGTGTTTACGCGACGGCTTGCAAATGCAGTTTGCAGAGGGAGCAAAAGTAGGCCGGCTAGAGCGTGACTCCGTGGCCTGCCTGAGCTAATGCTATGCTGCATTTTCAGTCAGGAGTTTCTAGATTTTATATGGAAGACAAACACATAAAAGCAGTATACTTTCTAACAGTAAAGCAGAAGGTGGCCTAGAAGTCCTAGATTTTGCAGACACTATTAATACTTTCAGAATCAACTGGTTAAAACGATGTCTCACTTTTTTTTTTTTTTAGGATTCTGACTTTAATCTCAGAATTCTGAGATTAAAGTCAGAACTAAAAAAAGAAAGTCAGAACCAAACTTTTTTTTTTTCAGTGGTCCTAATCCTCTTCCGTAATCCTCAGACCTCAGCTTGAGGCTCTCTCCCAGGATGCAAGTTTTTTGTGGAAGTGTTCGTTCATTATTCAGAGAACTCAATCGTAATTCACAGTCTAAAGTCTAAACACAAGACCAGAAACACTGAGGACAAAACAAAACAAATTATGAAACACTAAAGACACACAGAACTCAAGAAAAACAACAATAGAACACAGAGATACACAAGGATGATAAATGACTAAATAAAACAGAAAACACTGAAGACAAAACTAGGAAACCATCAACACTAGGAAACATTAACACACAAGGCAAACAAGCAACACTGGGATAAAACGGGGAAACTCAAATACAAAACCAAATCATGACAGGTTTGTAAATAGGTTTCTCAGAAATACATCTGGTGGTTGTCCTCACAAGGAGGAAATGCACACACCTGTTTCCCCACCCTACTTTCCAACAGGTTTTACATACATATTTGTGTACCTAAGGTGGCTGGCTCACATTGTTACGCCTACAGAGAAGACAGTTCGTCCAAAGCTGACATGGCAGGATTTTGTAAGTTATTTTTTCCTATTTTTATTCATGTAACTTTTTTTCCATTAAATAAAAATAAAGGTGGTGCATTTAAATAGATGTTTTTTTATTTTGTTTCAATAACAGGTACTTACCTCTTTTTTAGTTCGCTTATAGAAATCTGTGAGTACTTTTTTTTTTATTATTACGTTCCTTTAATCAGGTATATAGGCATGACTAATGTGTTTTTTGTGTGCGTGTTTCATAAACAGGTAATGACATGTATGAGGTACGTGAAGAAATCTGTGAGTATTTATTTTTCTTTTGACAACTCTGTTCCATCAGCAAATAGATTTTTTACAGTTATTTTATTGTTTTTTTCAATAATAATAATACACCAGTTTGACTGACAGCAAGTACAGAGTTCCATCAAATATATATATGTATATGTAGCCCATATATATGTGTGTGTGTGTGTGTGTGTATATATATATCCCCATACACATCACATCGACAAAAAAACATATCAATATGCATTAAACACACTCTATAGTTACGCTTCTAAGAAATCAATGATTATTTTTAACATCCTCTGCAAAAAGTAAAGACGGACAACATTAGTATGTAACAACAAACTGAAAAAACTAACAAGAACCTTTTTTTTACAGAGGAAGCAATTCAGAGTGATACTGCAAGATGAAACTCCCACATTTTTAAGATGTAACAACAGATTTTTTTCAACCTGACTCTCCGAAGATGAACAACATAAAAAATGATGAAAATCTTCCTTTAAGCGTTCTACTCCCAGTCTGACAATACTTTGAAAGACCAGATTGTTTTGTGCTACAGATCTTCTTAAGTCTGGGGTGCAGCTGAATCCACCACTCTCAGTCTGTTTTCAGTCCAGCTTTGATCTGTATTCTGTATTGATTGAGGAAACTGCAGGAAAAAGCTATCTCATACAGGATGTAATAAAGGAAGGAATGCTGCTCTCTTTATTACCTGTTGTACAGGTGAAGATGAGGGCGAGATATGACTCATCTGTTTGCTTTTCTCTGTATTAGTAGTTGTGACATCTGGATTCATTGTCAGCCTGTGTTTACCTGCAGTCCTCTAAAAAAATGTCCATGTTTGATGGCAGTGCACAACATTGTGGAATTATTTTATTTATCCTTGCCTCCACCCAGAGGCGCTGCTTGTTAACAGGCAAGGCAGGCAACTGCTTGGGGCCCCAGGCCATTAGGGGGCCCCTGAGGGCTGACAAACTTTAAACCACAGCAGTGGCTCAGAATGTGCAAATTTAGCAATGACTGTAGGAAACCGATTAAAGAGAGCCCCATCTGACAAACCTCAGATCAGCGTGCTGCTTACACCGAACTTCCACCAGATAGGTGTGCATTGCGTGTCCGCTCCAGTCCGTTTCGGCTGCGTGCACCCTCGTCCGTCAACACCATAGACTGTGGGAACAGCTAAAGTGCGCTCCCACTGGTCAACACCCACCGGCTGCGTTCTCCCTCCGCAGCACGGAGAGCACAGCCGTCAGCTGGAGTGCCGAGGCAAAGGAATTGCCGCGATAATTAAACAAACTAACTTGCGACAGTGCGAGATAATACGATGTATGTGGTATAAAACTCTATATAAACCTTATAAACACATAAACAAACACACAAACGGTCATTTTTCTGAACCGTTAAAACGGAGTGTTTTATTTCTGAAAATTAACCGGATGTTTTAATGTTGTATCGGTGTCTGACTTTCCGTCCCGCTTGTTCTTTACTGTGCTAAATTGATGCGGCGGGCACCGGCATCCGGCAAAAATAGAAACCTACGTATCTGCTGCGGAGGGCACCGGACTGCCGGAGCTCGGACGGAGCTGAGACGCAGCGCAGCGGACCCAGTGGAAGCACACACGTTGAATAAAATGAAAACCTATCACCGCCGCTGCCGGACCGGAGTGGAGACGGACCGGACACACATCCAGTGGAAGTTGACCGTTAAGGTCACAATATTCCTGTGATAACTTAAGTTTGTCATTTAAAGTCACCATTGGTGTCAGATTATTTTAATGGTGATGAACTCTTGTTGGAGTGGCCCCCCTCTGAGATTTTGCTTCAGGCCCCAACAGACTCTAGAATCGTCTCTGCCTCCACCCTGTCATAACCTCAGGCCACCATAGGGGCCGCGGGCACCACTTTGTGGAATCACTGCTTTGGTTCATGTGTGTGTTTTTTTCCACATTTTTCAATTCTATTTCTCTGTTAGCTTGTAAGAGACACACCTCTACACAGTCTCACTCTTTGTTGGTGGTGAACTCTCTTGGAGAAATACCCAGAATGCACAACTTAGGCAAAGAGGGTGTCCTCAGTTTCGTCTTTTTTTCCCCCATCAGAAAAAGAAACCCCCTCCCAGATGCTTTCTACATCCCTTTAAGCAGTGAAAACTTTTTTCTTAACTTTCTTTAAAATGGTATCAGCTTGACACTGGTGTTTTCTGTTTGTGTTTGAGCCTTCAGGCAGTCTTTGGCCTTTTCTACATCTGAAATTCCCTCCTGAAAAACTATTCTCAAACATTGACACTTACCTTCTAAAGATTCGAGGGAGTTATCTACAACATTTTAAAGAGCAACGACTCGGTCCCCAACCAGAAACATGCTTCACTGTAAAGTATTATAGCTTTGAGAGAGGTGGCTAAGAGTGAGTGGAGATATGAAAATATAATTTCTTATATATAAAAACGACAAGTCAGCAAATAAATGTTAGCAAATATTTTCAGCATGGGAAGCTCAGAGTGAAGAAACTGATTCTTAATTTTATTTTATGTTTCATTAATAGGTAAGGGTGCATCATAGGCGCAGGTGAGAAAAATGGAAAACCGTTTAGACATTTAACGTTAATTCTCTTGTTTGACTCTTTTCATTTAAGACAGTTTCTTCTGCTCTTGTCAGGAGGAGTTGTGACTCTGATCTCACACCTGCTTTGCTGGCCTCTTTGGTTTCACCTCAGGTGGAATAGCAGCAGGCTCCATTGCTGCAAAATAATGTCATGGTTGGGAATCGTGTACGCAGGAAGTGTGTTTGCATTTTGCAATCAATAGGTAAGGCTGAATGTGTGTGTGTGTGTGTGTGTGTGTGTGTGTGTGTGTGTGTGTGTGTGTGTGTGTATATTTTAAGTTAACAATAAGCCTCAAGATAATGGTACAATGCAAAATCATCCAATGAATGAAGAGTGAATGACTCAATGTATATCTCTGAAATGAACACTGATGCCTCTATATGACCTACAAAGGCAAACAAGACATCACACTGTTTACTTCTAGCCTATCGTTATTTCTAATGTCTATTAACACTTCTGGGTCTGTGTCTACGGTGGCTGGGAAGTGCAAAGCAAAATTACAAAGTGTTAAACACTTTTACAAAATGTGAGACAAATTTACATTTTGGAAAACATTTTTACATTTTATGAAACAAAATTACAAAACCAAAAACACTTACCAAGGACAAAACAAATTTACAAGATGTGAAACACTTTCACAATCGCTGAGACAAATTTACAAGCTGTGAAACACTTTTACCAGTCCCCAAACAAATTTACAAACGACAGGATCTTGACGGAAAGGGGAATGTACCGCGACAAAAAAAAAAAAAAAAGACCCCTCACTCGATCACTTCTGACATTTGGTACATTCCCATTTTGTCAAGACTCTGTCGTTTATACATTTGTTTGGGGATTGTTAAAGTGTTTCACATCTTGTAAATTTGTTTTATAAAATGTAAATGTGTTTTTTCCTTGGTATAAATGTTTTGGTTTTGTAATTTTGTTTTCTAAAAATGTAAAAAGGTTTTTCAAAATGTAAATTTGTCTCACATTTTGTCATTTTGCTTTGCACTTATCAGCCACCGTACGAGGGTTGAGAATTACTTTTGGTCCCCTGCAGATATACATTGATCTCAATTAAAAATGTGCATTAGTTTAGTTTATTAGTTTATTTGAATCAGGACTTTAAAAGCTTCACTCAGAGGCAGGCCTGTGTAAAATGGATTGGATGGTCTGATAACCCTGAATTCTATGCCATCTCACTGCAGGTGCAACTGGTCTGACATGGCTTACAGGTGGATATGTAGCCAGCTTTGGAGGAGTAATGGGATGGATGCTATCAGCCATTTGTAACCAAAGCCGAAATAATACCACTTCAACCTAAAGATAAACAGCATGGACACAGGCTGTGTGTACTCTTAAATAACACAACTATTCCTGTAGGTGACTGTTTCTGTTTCTGTGATCAATCTAATCATCTTATTTAAATTAACTTTTCATGCATCTGCCATACACACTCTGCATAAAGCATCTTTCAGGTGAACATAAGAGGTTGCTGAACACAATGAGCTAAACATTGTATAAGAAATGCAAAAGATGTTGCCTGGTGTTGACTCAGGAAGTTCATTGACTCTGATAAATGATCGATTTGACACCATTTGAGTGAATGTGACGCTATAAAAATGATGGTTCTGAGCTCTTTGAAAATTCTCATCTTAAACTGTCCTTTTATTAACCATAATGAAATGCATCTGAAATAAACCATCTCATCGATTGTTGTTTCTGAAGAAGCTGTTACCATTTCATTAAAGTAATAAAAAGTTATAATAAAACAGTTTCAACAACGTGCTAATAGCTCTTTAAAGGCTGAACTTAGGTTCAGTGTTGCTGCGCGCTCCACATGCTAACATGCTCATCATGACAACGCTAACATGCTGGTGTGTGGGATGTAGGCTTCAACGATTATCATTCAGCGTCAAGCTAGCATGCTAATGTTAGCTTATCAGCACAAACTGAAATAAGAATCAATAAGGTTATTATAACTTAGCTGGTGTAAATTTCATGAGAGTTGATCCAATCATTGTTGAGTTGTGCCAGTTATTCTGCTGCATGTCATTTAGCTTGTCAAAAATATAGCCTAAAATCCATTTCACTTTTTCCAACAGTTACAGAGATGGATTCATTATTTTTTTAATGATCGTAGTGGAGAGTCAGTGCGTCATAAAAAGCAATTCTTCTCTCTGTGATTAGGGTTTTGTAATAAATTTACTTCAGTAAAGAGTCAGAGTCAGCCAAAATACATCTGATCAACAAATACAGAAGATGAAAAAAACATTTTTTACATTTGAGATGTAAGCGTTTGCCTCCAAGCTGATGAACCAGTTTAGTCTGAGGGATTCATCAAAACTATTTCATATAGTTACACAAGATAAATATGTTCTCTGGAAATGAAAAGCCTGTTTCCTTAATGGAGAATTTCCATAGTTTTTTTGTAGATGAGCTGTTTCTACATATTACACTAATACATACAGTAATTCCTAACATAAAATCAGTTTATGATCATTCTTTGTTGTTACTCCCAAAACTACACATACTTTTAACATTATAACTGATGTATCTTTAAATCTATCTTATTCATTGTTGTTGTTGTTGTTGTTGTTGCAAAGTGCTGTGCTCATGAAGTACAGAGTTCCATCAAATATATATATATATATCTATATGTAGCCTATATGTGTGTGTGTGTGTGTGTGTGTGTGTGTGTGGTGTGTGTGTGTGTGTATATATATATATATATATATATATATATATATATATATATATATATATATATATATAAAAATATGTATATTTATGGCAAGCCGTTCAGGAAATTAATATATTGAATGAAACTTTGAATATATTGAATGAAGTCTGAATATATTGAATGAAACTTTGAATATATGGAATTAAACTTTGAATATATTGAATGAAACTCTGAATATATTGAATTACGTTTTAACATATTGAATAAAACTTTGAATAGTCTGCACTCTGATTGGCTGAAACCAAAGAACAACTACAACACTTTAATCTTTTAATTTTGTCCTTTGAGTTAGCAAAGAATCAACTATTGTCAGATGTATCTCCAGGTATCCTTCTTTGCTCTGGGCAAAGCTTAATCGGCAAATCACGTGCAACAGAGGAAGAAACAGATCTGAATTATGTCTTTCTTACTCTGATAAAAGTGATTTTCTTAAGATAAGAACAGGGACAGCATGGAAAGACTCAGATGATTTATATAATGAAGTAAAAAAAATGCATAGAAACAAAACATATTGTCAATACTTTAGTAGTTTAAGTAGATATGACTAAAGGGTTTGCACACACATAAGTCACCCCTTCATAAGTCATTGCCCCAGTCAAAAAAGTATGGAGCTGCCCCAATCATTTTTATTTTACTTAAAGTACATCACAAAACAATCATAACCAAATACAGTTGCAGGAAAAAGTATGCCAACCCTTTCATAGTTTTCTGATTAAATTGGTCATAAAATGTGTTCTGATCTTCATCTAAGTCTCAACAATAGACAAACACAGTCTGCTTAAACTAATGCCACACAAACAATTATATTTGTTCATGCTTTTATTGAACACAACATGTAAACAGTCACAGTACAGAGTGGAAAAAGTATGTGAACCCTTGGATTTAATAACTGGTTTACCCTCCTTTGGCAGCAATAACCTCAACCAAACGTTTCCTGTAGTTGCAGATCAGACCTGTACAACGGTCAGGAGAATTTTGGACCATTCCTCTTTACAAAACTTTTTCAGTTCAGCAATATTCTTGGGATGTCTGGTGTGAATCGCTCTCTTGAGGT